TGGCATCTTCTTGTATTCTATTTTCTATATACCATGTAGTCTCCCAGCGCCTATAAAGAGCTTTCAGACCACTACTTCCAACACCCACATTCTTACATTTTCTTTCCCTAGCCTCCCCTGGTCTCCCTCCCTCCCACCCCCACTCCGTATGCTTCTTTCTGCAATCCTCTCTGTGTTATGTTCAAAATAGTGTATATTTGGAGCAAGTCATTTTTAATCCTTCAGTTGAAAATATTCATTCATTCATGAAACATTTAAGCAATTGATAGGTTGAGAACGGTGCTAGGTGACATCCCATCTCATCCTCAACAATTCTGTAAGGTAGGAACATTATTTTAACTGCTTTTAAGGCTCGTAAGGGTTGTGTAACTTGGCCACAGTCACACAGTTTGTTTGGCAGAGCCTGGACAGCAGCTGCCTATTGAGTTCGTATGATGCGCCAAGGACTGCACGGAGCCCTGAGTGTAGTTTGCGCAGGAAGGCATGAGGATTGGAGGCTGGGAAGGTAACTCATCGCAGTTCCCCAGAGCTCTGCAAACTCCGTGTTCTTTCTGCTGTGCCATGCTAACAATAAAAGCATGCTGTGATCCATGCCTTGATGTTTCTGTTGTCTGCAAGGTGCTCTGGGGATCCGGAGGCAAAGTGGACCTGAGAAGTGCACTGGCGTTTCAGAGAAGAGGTGCCGTTTAAACTAGACCTTAAGGGAGGAGCTTTTCCAAAGAGCGAAACGAGGAAAGGCACTGTTGTCAGTGAGGAAGCCCGTTTGAAGTCACGGAGGGCTTGCCCAGTTGTGTGACAGGAGCTGTGCTGGCCACTGCCGCGTACGGGGCTGGGACATGTGCAGGGGGGGCTCCACAGGGGCCTTGTGGACTCTGCCCCAGAATTTGGGTTCTTTCTCTGGTCTGATGTGGGGTCATCAGTGCGAAGTGGTGTGATCAGATTTTTGGGGAGGGGTGTATAAACTGGTGGAATTGGGTAGGATAACCGAGGAGGGCTGAGATCAGTGAGATCATGCCCATAATTCGGGCAAGAGCCTGACCCCGGACATTAGTGGGGGATGAAGAGCCTCCAGGAGCAGAAGCCAAAAGCGGCAGGCACGTCCCGTCAGTTCATCGGCTGAACTGCAACACACCATTGCAAACCTTTTATTGAGGGGCTTCAGGGAAATGTCAGAGGGCTGGGAGTTCAGTGAGATCAACATCCTCAGCCTGGTCGGGACCTCCCCAGCTTCATAGTGGCCTGAAAGCTCTGCAGACCTTTTCTTGTTTGTTTATTTTATTTTATTTTGAGAGAAATGGGAGGGGTACAGAGGGAGAGGGAGAATCTTAAGCAGGTTCCACACCCCATGTGGAGCCAGACACAGGGCTCGATCTCACGACCCTGAGATCGTGACCTGAGCCAAAATCAAGAGCCGGATGCTTAAGCGACTGAGCTACACAGGCACCCCTTCTTGTTTGTTTTTAAAGCCAGGAACACAGCTGAACTCATTTCCACAAACTTGCTCTTACACTTATTCTCAGGGTCGGTAGTGACCCAGACACCGTTTTGCTCACCTGTAGTGTGTGTGTGACGTATGTACACTAATGTATGTGTGATTGCATGTATACACGGACTACAGTGTATTATACATGCGATATTGAAATTTGCTTTTTTTTCCCCACTTAAAATATCTTGGAGGTCATTTTTTGTCAGTAAATCTGGAGCTACCTGATTCCTTTTGATACTGCTTAGCATTTCATTATATGGATGTGCCATAGTGTCTTTAGAATACATAATGAATCGTGATGGACATTGAGGTTTCTGATATTTTGCTATTCCAAATGATGCAGTGAGTGTTCTTGTATATACATATCATTTTCACATATCCAAATTTCCAGAAATGAATTCTTATAAGAATTGAAATTCTTTGAAATTGCTGAGTCAAATGGACTCATGTGCATTTGTAATTTTAACATATTGCTAAATTACTTTCCATACTGCCTGTTTTCCTATACCCTCACCAACACAAGACATTGATGGTGACTCCTCTGAAAGGGAAAACTGATACCTTATTGTAGCTTTACAGATGTTTGAGCCATTTGCATTATCCTTTTTATCCTTTTTAAATTTTTCTCTTGAATTATTGACCTTATTTAGCTATAGGAGCTCTTGATATTTTAAGGAAATTAGCCTCTTGTCTGGTATGAATTCCAGATATTTCTCCCCAGTGTGTTATTTGTCTTTTGATAGTTATTACTATAAATTTTTTTTTTAGTTAAATTTATCAGGATTTGTATGTATGTGGGGGGGCTTTAGAATTTCATGTTATACTTAGAGAAGATTTCCCTTTTTATGAATGTTTTTGAAACTCTCCCATTTTTTTTCTCTCAGAGCTTGTATAGTTTAACTTTTTTTGTATTTAAATCTTCCAACTCTTCGGAATACATCTGGGGGTAAGTTATTAAGTATGGATCAGACTTTTCCCCCGTTGTCTCAACACCATGCATTGAAAAATTAATCTTTCCCCATTGATTTGAAATGCCATTAGGTATCTTCTTATGTGTGGATCTTATCTACCCAGGTAGACCATAAACTTTTAAAAGGCAGCAATCAGATATTATCCTATCTTGATTCACCCCCATAAAGCTGAGCATAATATTCTGTATAAAAGAGGTATGACAGTGTTTTTACATTTAAAGAATTGTGACATATATATATGGGGAAAGTACGCAAAACATTCACATACAACTCAATGAAAATTTATAAAATGAATGCCTGGGTAACCACAACCTAGATCAAGAAATAGGCCATTTCCAGCTCCTCAGAAGTCCCCTGTGCACCCGTCCCATTCACATTCCTCTTCCATCCCCCAGAGGCAACCACCCTCTTGACTTGTGACAATGATTTTCTTGTTTTTCTTTATCATAAGATTGGACCATACAAAATCACCATTGTTTGTAGGTAAAAAGCCATTGAATGTCTGCAATTTCATATTTCAACCTAGTAATTTTTACCACCTCTGCATATGTCTTTAAACAGTATAGTTTAGTGGAGCCTATTTTTTTTTTAATATTACTTAAATGTAATCTTATTGTATTTGTTCTTTGCTATGCTTCTTTCCTTTACTGTGATGTTGTGGTGTTCAACCATGTTGTGGAAGGTTGTCAGTTCTCACTGCTAGATATATCCTATCATACGACTGTGCTGCACTTTATCCATCCCACTGTTGCTGGGTTATAGGTTTCCAGTTTTGACTATTGAAAACAAGGTTACTATGAAAATCTTTGAACATGTGTTTTGATGCATGTAACAAAGGTTTCTTTAGGACAGAATCGGCAAAGTAGGGCCCGCTGCCTAGTTCTTTATTTTTTTAAAGCTTTTAATGTTGAGATGATTTTACATTTATAGAAGAGTTGCAAAATTGGAACAGAGAGTGTCTGTATACCCTTTATCAAGCTGCCCCTAATGTAAACATCTTACATGGTTACGGAGCATTTAAAAATCAGACATTAATGTTGGTACAATACTATGAACTACAGACTTTGGAATTCATCAGTGTTTCCACTAATGCCCTTTTTCTGTTCTAGGACCAGTGCGGGATACCACATTGCACTTAGTTGTCACATTTCTTTAGACATAAAACAAGCTCCACTACAGTATTCGTGTAAAGTTCTTTTTGTTTTCAGCCTTATATAGTAGCCAGTCAAAACTCTTTTCCAAAGCTACTATTACATAGTCATTTGGGTCTCCTTTCTTTCCCTGAGAAAAATTCATTTAAAATTCATCCAGGTTGTGTGCATCAATAATTTGTTCCTTTTGTAAAAAAAAAAAAAAAAAATGCAGCAAACGTCCTATAACATAAAATTAACCATTGGAAAGTAAGCACTTGAGTGGTGGCATTTAGTACATTTACAGTGCACAACCACCACCTCTGTCCGGTTCCAAAACGTGCTCTTCGCCCCAGAACAAAATCCCGTACTCGTTCAGCAGTTACCCAGCGTCTGGCAGCTGTCAGTCTGTGTTCTCACCATTCTGGGTATTTCCCGCGAGTGGGACCACACAGTATGCGATGGTTTGTGTCTGGCTCCTTTCACGCATCCTGGTTTTGAGGTTCATCCGCATTGTACCGCATGTCAGTACTTCCCTCCCTTTTTTTTTGTTTAAATTGCGGTAAAATATATATAACATGGCATTTGCCATTTTCACCATTTTTAACTGTACAATTTAGTGGCATTAACTACACTCATAACATCATGCAACCAATCCCCACTACCCATTTCCAAAACGTTTTCATCCCCCCCCCAACCCCACGGAAGGGCAGTACCCAGTAAGTCCCCTTTCTCCTCTCCTGCTAGCCCTGGTACCTTCTAGTTTAATTTTTATCTCTAGGAATTTGCCTGTTCGAGGCATCTCATCTAAATGGAATCATGCAGTGGTTATTCTTTTGTGTCTGGCTCCTTTCACCCAGCATCATTTTTCCCAGGCTCATCCACATAGTAGCAGGTGTCAGAACCTCATTCCTTTTTATGGTTGGGTAATATTCCATTGTGCGGCTACCCCACATTTTGTCCATCTGTTGATGGACATTTGTGTTGTTTTCACCCTTTGGTTCTTGTGAATAATGCTGCTGTGAAATTGGCCTACAAGTATCTGAGTGAGTCGTTATTTTTTATTCTTTTGTGTATATCCCTAGGAGTAGAGTGGTTTGCCTACCCCGGTCTGGAATGCGTACAGTGGTAAACTGAATTCCAAAGTGGTTCTACCGCAATCTTGACAACACTTGATCTTACCAGATTCTTCAGTTTTTGCCAGTCTGCCTGGTGTGCCGTGGTGTTGCACTGTGATTTTAATTTGCATTTCCTGATTCCTGAAGGAGTTGAACACATTTTCACATGTTTATTAGCCATTTGAATTTCCTGTTTTGTAATGTGCCCATTAATGTTCCTATTGGTGGTTTGCCTTTCTAAATTGATGTTGATGAACCGATGCCTCCAAATAATGTTTACTCTGTGTTTCTGCAGAACAAATAGTGGAGAAAGATGAAGGTCCGTATTATACTCACCTGGGATCTGGCCCCACGGTAGCCTCTATCCGGGAGCTCATGGAGGAGCGGTGAGTGACGCCCAGGTGTCCAAGCAGAGGTGGGCAGTTGTTAAGAGAGCATGGCATTGAAGCGCCTCTCATTGTCATTGCCTCGTACCGGATGATGTACAGGAAGGAGGTCATGATACCCAGACTGTGGAAGGTTGACTACGGGTTTCTCTCTCTCCGTAGGTCTGCCCTCTCTGTCTTCCCCTCCCCTGCCCTTCTCTCTCTCTTGAACTATTTTTTTATTGATGAAATGTGGTGAAATGACTCTGTGTCCCATAGTGTTTCCCGAGGTCTGAATTTTGCTGCTGGCTTTTCTACAGTATCGTTCACTGTGTCCTTCTGCCCTCGCTATGGCCTGTAAATTCGCAGCTAGAGCTAAAGACGTCATGGGAATCGGATAATTTTTTTTCTTTCTTTTTTTCAAAATGACTTCATGGGTGGTATTTTGTGCCTCCGCTAGGAGGAATAGAGTATCTCCTCGTTGGCCAGTGGGTGTCTATTCAGGTTGTGTCCTGAGTCGTTCTGACGCTGTCCCAGGAGTCTTTGATAGCTTTCTCGATTCCTCGTATGGCATTATGCTTGGGGCGTGCATTCTGCATTTACCCAAGAAGTCCAGGTCCTTTCTATTGGGGGAAGAAGTATTTAGGAAACAAACTGTGGTACTAGGTTTGCCCGTGACTTCTAGGGCATTTCAGTAGAAAGAGCTAAGATGTATGGGTTGGATTTTTATTTTTGGTTATTGATTAGTGATCAGATACATCGGAGGTTACCTTGACACTTAGAATTCAAACTCAAGACTACAGGGTTTTTCCTTAACAGCCCTGTTTTGTTTTTTTAAGTAGTTTGTATAGATAGAGACTTTAAAATCTACGTACGTGTTCACAGCAGATAATAAATGCCACGAGTTCCAGTGTACAGAAGGGTAAAATAGCTTGGTGATTGAGAGCATGTGGACACTGGAGCTAGACTTCAAGGTCTAATCCTGGCCCTGCCCCTTCCTGCTGAGTCCTTGTGTAAGTTGCTCTACTTCTCTGTGACTCGGTTTTTGTATCTGCAAAATGGAGATGATAGAAGTACACGTATGTTGTAGGAGAATAATGAAGAGAAGCTGAATCAATGTCTGGAAAGCACTTAGTGCTTACAGGGAAGGACCACATCCGGGGGTCTATCTCAAACACATATGTACTGGTGGAAATTTTATAACAAGCATTAGTATTTTAATAGTAAAGGCAAAGATTATGTAGACAAATATGTTTGCATGTACATATACATACAGATGTGTGGAAGGCTGAGTGGCTCAGAATTCCCACAGATTTGGGAACCATATTTTGTGTGATCAGGGGAGCCAAAAGAATCCTGTCATTAATGTAGCAGGGAACGTGATTTTGAACTGAAAAACTGTAATGGCATCCCTGAATAAATAAATGGTAAGATGGATGGAGGACTGTGATCTCCTGTAATGACTCTTAATTGTCCTGTACCATCTGGAAACATTTATATTCAAAGTAGCCCATCAGAAAAGCATTTGATCAAAGACCCGATCTGCACATTTGAGTCTGATTGAAAGGGTACCTCCGAGTCCATGAGAACGAAACGTTTAAGACAGGGTGTGTTTTGTACATGCACCGCCTGCATGGGCCAACACACATATGCGTTGCAGTGCCAAGGTTGGGGCAGCCAGCATTTTGGCCAGTGATTTTTTTTTTTTTTTTCTTGTAGGAAATCTTGACATTATTGTTTGCAGGTTGAGGGCTGCAGGGGAGTCCAATGTGCACATTGATCTGGGTCAGTTTTTGTTTGTGTTTGTTTCTTGGTAACAATTTTACAAAATTTCTAGACAGCTCTCTAAATAACTTTTAGTTACAGAAGAGTATGTTTTGAAACAAGGATTAGGAGATAGTGATAAAGTTGAGATTTGTCCTTTTTTTTTTTCCCTCATTGCTTTAAAAATAACAGCCAACTGTAGATTCTTCAGAAACTGATCCAAGGGAGGAATTCCTGTCAAGACCAGGAATACTTGTGTTTTTCCCCAGCAGCTGGTTTATTTTTATCTTAAGGACCTTGTAAATTATGTAACAGATTGCGTTTCCATCTTCGTTAGCTGCTGGTAAGCTCAGAGCCAGATTTGTGTACCCCTATTAGGAGGAATGTAATTTCTCATCTTTGGCCCGTGGGAACCTAGTCAGGTTCACTTCTGAGTCCTTTTGATATGACCCAAAGGAGTCTTCATTAGTTTGCTGGATTTCTCATACAATGAAATTTTCTAGGCCCATCTCTCAGAATACACACAAGACCCTACTGCTTGCATTTTGCATACCAACATGATGTGCATCTTTTCCCCCTTTACTCTGATTTCATCACCTGTTATTTTTATCTTATAGACCTCTTTTTAAAAAAGTTTTCTTGTGGAACAAGGAGAGGAATGAATGATCAGTGAACACCACCAGGCTGGGGGTCTAGTTTGTGAATGGTCCAGGCTGTCTCTTTCCCTAGACCTCTCCCCCGACCCTCTCTCTGCAGGACCACTCTACCACCAGAAGTTGGCCAAAGTCAGGAAGGGGAAGCGAACTGAAATCAAGGAGACGTTGGTGCTTTTAGCTTCTCTGGTAAAGATTTGGAAAAAGGAGGGGGAGGTCAAAACCAAATCCTAAAATATTTTCCCAGTTTATTTATGGGTTCCACACGTGGGGAACCCAGGTCCCCATTGACATAGGTAATTGAGTCAGTTGTTGAACTCATATCTGAGAAGAGTGTGCTGCAGAGCCCCGGGTCCTCTAACTGGAAGGGGATTCTGTGTAGCCTAGGAGTTCATTCAATGTTTATTTGAAAAACAGAGAACCAGGACTTGCTGGCAAAGCCTCTGAGTTTAGGGGAACTAGTCTCATTATTGTGTGATAAAGGTAACTCCAAAGAAGTCCAACTTTAGATCAGTGGTTCTCAAACTTGAGCATGCTTCAAAGTCTTCCGGAGGACTCATGAAAGCACAGATCCCTGGCCCACCCCAGAGTTCCTGACCCAGCAGGTTTGGGATGGGACCCGAGAGTCTGCATTCCTCCCAAGTTCCCAGGTGATGCTGGTCTCAGCACCACCCTTTGAGAACCACTTGCTAAGATGATCAAGTTATCCCTCAGAATAAGGTTTCAGCCTATCCTTTCAGACTTTGCCTAGGGTCTAGGAGTTCATCTGTCTACGGGGATGAACATCATCTAGACGTTCTAGAATATCATCTTAAGGATAGGCCATCGAGTGAGACATTTAAGAAAAAAAGAGCCAAATCCAGAGTTGATTGGTTGTCTTTAAGCACAGACATAGTTCTGATTTAAAAAAAAAAAAAAAAAATGGTCTAGCTGTTCAGACAGTGCTTGGCCCTTTTATTTGCTCTTGAATATTCAGTTCAGTGCAGGAAGTGTTTCTCACATGGGCGGGATGGTGGGGAAGGTACTGGTCAGAAAGCTCGCGTCAGTGTCCTCAGCTCACCCTCCTGTGGGGAACACGATATCCCGTCTGTTTCGGTGAGAGCAGCATGGACACCTCGGGCTGTTCTTCCCACAGTGACCCCAGGACACATCAAGTATCCAGGCTTTGCACTTGGGGGCCACTTCCTGATAAATATTTGTGAAATTGAAAGTTTTCCAGGAACTGAACAAAAGCGGCACTATCTGGTCTTTTCCTCTGGAGCCAGGCCATACCATGTCAACTCCCCAGAGTCCTGTCCCCAAACACATTCTATAAGGGACTCACATAGCCATAGAATTTTCACGTGCTAATTCTCAGAAACCCTTTCTCTGTTTCACTCAAGATCTCCATGAGCTCAAAGAAACTGTACATCGGTATTTTAAAAAATAATTTGTTTTCTTTCCCAATTACAAAAATAGAACCTGTCTATAAAAGTCTTTCTTTAAAAAGCTAAGAATGAATAAAGCTCTCCAGCAATTATCCAGAAGAAACATGCTTACCCTTCAGTTTTTTCTAAGCATTTATAGCTACACATATGTATATAAATTTTAAACCAAATGGGATTACTGTTTGCAGCTGCTTCCCCCCCCATCGCTTAATTTCTTCCATGTTAGTGCATATAATTATATCAAATCCTTTTTGATGGCTACATGGTTTTCCATTATATGGAAATTTATTATATTTTATTTAGCCAGTCCTATACTGGATATTGAAGTTGTTTCTAATTTTTCAGTTGATGCAACAATGACTATCTTGTTCCTAAGTCTTGGTGTATTTGTACAGTTATTTCAGAGGTGTAGAGAATCCTGGAAGCGGAGCAGATGAGATAAAGAATACAGGTCTCCCTCACTATCCAGAAGTAGAGCATCCCTTGGAAAACTTTCCTAAACCAAAAATGGCAGTAAAGTGAAGAAGCAGTTACCTTTAACTTATATGGAAAAATGTTTGAGCATTCCTGGGCCCCCCCCAAAATAACCTCTTTTAGGCTTCTCTGATACCTTAAGGCACATCTGGCTAATGGATGCACAGAATGAATCAAGACAAAGCATAGATGCTCACAGACACAGTTCAGAGCTCTGGCAACTGGGTACTGGGATGTTGAGTGGATTTCCTGGGGAAGGAGCTCAACGGGGCCACTCTTGCCCCCGTGCTCGGGCCTCGCACTGCCTCCATAATGGCTCATTGCGAAACAAACGCTGAACGCAATTTTTGCTTTTTGCCTTTCTTTGTAAAAGCAGAAATTCTCTTTGGATTTCTTCCAGTTACCAAAAACTAGGGGCTGATGTAGGTGTTCGTAAGAGCAAAGTGGTATAACATGAACTTCTGAAAGTGAGGGATACCTGTATGTGTAACTGTGTGTGTGCGTGTGTAGAGAATATGTAAACTGGAGCAGGTATGATAACACTGCTCTCTATTAAATAGTATATTAAAAATAATAGGGCATGGCCAACTCAGATTCATTACAGGAATACAAGGATAGTTTGATTTAGACAGTCTGTTAAAATACCGCACCGTATCAGTTGATGAAAGGAAAAAAAAAAACCATTCAGGCATCTATGTCCTTTGATGCTAGAAGTGCTTTTGGTAAAAGTAATAATTCTTGATTAAAAATCCTTAGAACAGGAGACCCTTAGTAAACGCCTTCAAAGTAAGGCAGTCTCTGTCTCTTTCCCGAAGTCAGCTGGCTTCATGCTCAGTGATGAAGAGGCAGCAGCATGTTAGTGGAGACAAGAAATAAGGAAGGGTGCCTGCTAGCACTTCCGGAGCCCTGGCTCGTACAGAGAGACAGGAGCCTGAAACGGGGCGTGAGGAGTGGACAGGAGGAGGTGACAACGGACCCTGCTTGCAGGTGATAGGACTTCGTGCCCGAAACTAAAAAGCTATTACAAATAAGACGGTTCAGTCAGATGGCTACTTAGGTTGTTGAGAATTAATATTCAGTGAGCCCTTCCCTCGTGCCGAGAACTTCAAAGCACCTGAAATTGTGCACCCCCTGGGGACGATCTTTTTTGTTCTCTTTCCAAGTCTAAGACTTGGACTTTCAAAGTCCCTTTTACAGGTTAGGAAATGGAGGCCTAGGGAAGTTCAGTCACGTGGCTACAGTCCTGTAGGCAGAACGTGGCCGGCCGGCACTGCAGTTGCTGTTGCCCGTGGCACCGGAGTTGTGTGGCCTTGCGCTGGGCCGCTCAGCTCCGGGGACCGTGGTTTCATCACCTCCGGAGGAGATGGCCTCGGGATCCTTGCGTGTGCGCGCGCGCGCAGACCAGGGCAAGCGTGTGTGCGGGATGTGCGTGCTGTCCGGGGCTGTGGCACGACCACAGCTGGGGCTCGGGAGGGCCCCTTCCCCCAGCCTCAGCTGTCTGTCCTCCTCATGCTCAGATGTCCGCTGGGGATTGTGGAAAGAAAACAAGGCTTTCCCCGCTTACCTTCTTCTGCCTACTGAATTTACAAATCACCAACTCTCAGAGTGACTCAGCTAACAGGGCTGGGTACCAAGGCCCATGTCTAGCCACTGGCTGGAGCACCCTCCTGGAGGCTCGGAGGTAATCCTCAGGGACGCTGTGCTTGACGGCCCCCTCTGCCCTGGGACAGAGCTGGGCCAGATGGGCCAGAGGCCCTGGGAACCCGTACGTGGCGGCTTCATCTCCAGAGGCTCTCCGCACACAACAAACATTTAAACTCTTCTCCTTCTCTGTCGACCCCACGGTAACAAAACCCACGCTGAAGCACACTGAGGCTTGCCTTCTTACCATAAGCTGCTCTCCTCTGGGCTCCACTGTGCTGATGGTGGCTTCTGTCTCCGTCTCCAGGTACGGAGAGAAGGGCAAAGCCATCCGGATCGAGAAGGTCATCTACACTGGGAAGGAGGGCAAGAGCTCGCGCGGCTGTCCCATCGCCAAGTGGGTGAGTGTCGAGCCCCTTTGGCTAGGGCTGTGCCTCGTTGCCCTCGCCGCAGGCCAGGCCAGGGCTGTGTAGAGCAAGCAGACACGCTTCCTGTCCAGGGGCACTTTGGAGCCGGCACCTGCGCTCGGTTAAGGTCGTTTTCCCCCAGCCTGAGCTATCTGTCCTCGTTTTGTTTAAACGCCAGCCCCCGGAATCCTGGGCTGGCCTCAGACACGCTCTAGTCCGTATGCTTAGTTCGTACTCTCCCCGTGGCTCAGGGACATGGTTGAGGGGAGGCATAGAGATGTCCTCTCACTCCAGGCTGGGCCCCACTGTGGACCATTTAACTCTTCTGCCCCTGCACGTGCTACTGGCGTTCCCATCTCCCGTCCAGAAGAACTAGGCCTCCAGGCAGGGTCGGGGACAGTCGTGCATCTGCGTGACTTCTGAGCCGCTGTTGCCTGTGAGGCAGCCTGAGTGTCTCAGCAGGGGGAACGGCAGTGACGGAGACCCCCACTCCCCCCGCCACACACACAGTTTTCTGACCTTGCCTTTCTAGTCCTCCAGGAGATCTTTAGCATCACTGCAGAATCCGTCCTCGAGAGCAGCCACGGGGTCATCAGGTAGCCGTGAGCTTAAAATTTTGAAGAGGGGTGGTGCTGAGTTGTGTGGTGTTCTTTTCTAGCCATCTCTCTTAGTGCAGTGGACTTCTCTGGTTTGCCTACACAGCCACCAAATACCCTATCTGTTTTGGTGGTAGAGCTCATCTACACCTCCCTGGAAGTTGGCAAAGGGACAGGTGTCCCCTTTCCCTGCCCCCCTCCACGGAGAGGCGACCCATAAATGCAAAGAAGGGCAGATTGTTCTTGGTGGCAGCATGGCTACGGGCAAGTGGCAGCATCTAGCTGCCTGTGGTGGAGGACACTTCCCGTGGTTCCCCCTGCCCACCGGCCCCTCTGGTCTTATGTCTAGAGCCTGGGTTTTCCTTTCCAACCAGGTTCATGTCTTTGTTTACCTCCAGAACCCCTAACCAGTCCGTTCATCTAAAAGTAGTATGCCTGACAAATTCGGGACTTGACTGGCCAGGACCTTGGGAACAGAGTTGAGGCTCATCATGGGTACCTAGTAAATGTGTGTTGAGGGAAGGATCTAAGAAAGCAGTGGGATGGCCCGGGGAGCCCACTGGTAATTGTCAGTTTTAAGGTGGCCTGTACGGGGTATGGAAGTCGCCAAGCGTGGGAGTTAAGGGAGTGACCCAGGTCTCATTCCTAAGGCTCAGTATAAATGGAGACACGCCAGAAGCAAACACCACGGACAGCAAAAGTGGGCTTTCGGTAGAACTATGACCCATGGAGATGCTGCTTGGGCCAGCCTGTACCGATGACCGGGGGCAGAAGGCAGGTATTTGAAGGCCCATTGAGGGCACGGTGGGACAGACCTCGTGGGGAAACCCAGGGCTCAAAACTAAGTACCAAGAGTGGGAGCTGCGGGAAGACAGATTTGGGCTTCTGTTGGGTACAGTGACCAGGGAATTCCTGCACAGAATCTGAGCGGGCTGTCTGCGGTTCTGTGGTGGCTTGTGAGCCATTGGTATTGGCATGCTCGGGTGTTGGTGTCCTCCTGCCCTTCCATGGGCCTTTCACGTTTGCATTTTGTGCGTTCAGTCCTGCTGGCTTCCTTCATAGTGCGGGTAGGGAGCTCCACTTTAGTTTTCTAACGGTTTTTTTGAGTGTAGCCATAGGCCTGCGAGGGTGTGGCCACAGAGAGCTGTCTGCTTGTGCTTGTGTCATGTTTATGTGTTTGCCACTTGGGAAACCAAAAGGATGTGGCCTTGATGTCCGCCTGGACTGGCAAATGTTTGCATGCTCTGAACGCACATCACACGTGGGCACCATGAGCCAGTGCCCTGCCCTGTGCGCTGAGCAGACATTGACAGTGGTGCCTCAGAAACTCCGGTGACAGGACTGCTGTCTTGTGTGTGTGTGTGTGTGTGTGTGTTTAAGAGTGTTATTTATTTATTTGTCAGAGAGAGAAAGAGAGTGCGCGCACACACAAGCAGAGCGGCAGGCAGAGAGAGAAGCAGACTCCCTGCGGAGCAGGGAGCCCGACACGGGGCTCGATCCCAGGACCCCGGGACCATGACCTGAGCCGAAGGCAGACGCATAACGACTGAGCCACCAGGCACCCCTAGGGACTGCTGTCTTACCAGTACCTGGGCCATGCAGAGCTGCTCACGGTACAGCTGGCTCAGTCTGCGGAGGCTGGGCAGTCACACAGCGAGTCCTCTCACGGCATGACTTAGTGACGTGGTCATAAGTTACTTTTCCCCCCCAAAAAAAAAAAAATTTTTTTTAAAATAATGATGTCACTGATGCTTCCCTGGGTTGGCTCAAAGTAGGAACTCGTGGGCCAGAGATGTGTTTTGTTTAGCATGCAAGGTGCCCCTTAAAATTTTGAAGGAAATTCTGACACCTGCTGCAACATGGATGAACCTTGAGGCTGTTACATTAAGTGAACTAAGCCAGTCCCAAAAGGACAAGTTCCGCGTGATTCCACGTGTATGAGGTTCTGCGCGTAGTCACACTCCTCGGAGGGTCAGCAAGTAGAGTGGTTGTTACCATGGGCTGGGGCAGGAGAGAGGGGAGAGAGTGTTCCATGGGTACAGAGTTTCTGTTTGGGACGAGAGGACGTCGTAGAGGCGGATGGAGTTCTGGTGGCGGCTGCGTACTTAGCCGCTGAACTTTACACTGAATGATGGCCACCGAGGTCAATTTTATGTCCTGTATGTTTTACCATGGTTTAAAACATTGAATTAGATGCTCAACTCTTTAAAGGGAGAGGTTGCATGTAAAGTCTGGATCTCTGTTTTCTTGTTAAAATGGGGAGAGGTGGCTGTACGAGGCTGAAGTTCTCCCCAGGCAGTGGCTGATGGAGAGGAGGCCTGGCTTATTTCTTTTGAAGGGGCAAGTGCTTTTTTCACGTGGCCATGGTCCACACCGCTCCCCAGTTGTCCGGCTGGCCCACTCTCCTTATTTGTCCTGCCTGGCTGGCTGCCTCTTTGGATGTCTCCCTGCACTGACATACTCAGGACCGAGTGTGTCTGCAGCCCAGGCATCTCCTGACCCCCAGACCCAGGCTACTGGGGTCTACGAGAACTGGCCACTCTCAGCCCCGGCACGTTCCCAGTTAACTCGCCACGAAACAACCCACAACCTACCCACTCTCCCCTGCCACAAAAGTGGAAATCCATTTAAGACTTTCTCCTCTCCCTCAGCCCCTAGTCAGATGGTCCCAAAGCCACCTTTCTCCTCAGTGTGTCTGAATGCATTCCTTTTCCCGTGTCATTCCCCACTGCCCTAGTTCAGCACTTTATCCACTTTTGCTTGTTATGTTTGTTAGTGGTCTCCCTGTCACTCTCCCCCACCCCCAACCACCTGCTCCCCTTCTAGAGCAGGAAGCTACTTAGGAAAGCCCCCTGTGTAGACTCCTCTGTGGAACCCCCACCTTGAGTCCTCGTCCCCTCAAAGCCCTTTCCTGTCTGCCCTCCTCCTTCCCCTCTTCATGGGCCCTCATCAGCTCCCAGAATTAGTTGGGGTTCTTAGGGGAGGTCAGCCACCTCATCCCCCAGCTCCCGGGCCCTTCGCCGTGCCATATCCTTTTGGGAGCCAGGTCAGAGTTCTGGGAGTGAGTGAGAGTGGGGTTGGGGGAGAGCCTGGCTGAGGAGCCGTGCAGCGCGGAGCCCCAGGCCCTTGCTTTTTGTGTTCTTCAAGAGCTTTATTGAGATACAATTCATATACCATACAATTCATCCATTCAAAGTATACAGCTCACTGGTTTGGAGTATATTACTAATTTTTAAAAATTGTGTTGAATTATACATAACCTAAAGTTAGCCATTTTAACCATTTTTAAGTGCACAGTGGTACCAACTCCATTCACATTCTTATGCAGCCATCACCACACTCTCTATTTTCAAAACTTTTAGAATCCAGAAACTCTGTACCCCGTTCTTTGCCCCCCAAGCCCCTGGCAGCCACCATCCTTGCTGTCTCTGTGAATCTGGCTGTTCCAGGCACTCTTTGTAAGCGGGATCCTATACGGTATTTGTTCTTTAGTGTCTGGCTTATTTCACTTAACATGATGTTCTCCAGGTTCATCCATGTTGTCGCATGTGTCCGATGTTCCTTCCTTTTTAAGGTTGACGACGACTCCATTGTATGGAGAGGCCACATTTTGTTGATCCGTATCTGTTGATGGACACTTGGGTTGTTTCCGCTGTTTGGCTGCTGTGAATAATGGTACTCTGAACACGAGTGTATAAACCCCTGTCCCGGGCCCTGCTCTCGGTCCCCTTGGGTATATTCCTGGGAGTGGCACTGCCTGGTCGTATGGTAATGACATGTTTCGAGAAACTGCCAGAAATTTCCACAGCACCAAAGCCCTTGCTTTGTAACTAAAATCATACAGATAAGCAGCATTTTCTCTGCAAATATTTTAGGACTACATAAAAAAAAAAATCTCAATGTATTTTGGCTCACAATTTTCTCTCTCTCTATTTAGTGCTAAGCCTATGCAGCTCATCAATAACTTAGATTTTGTAGTAATTGTTTTTTATTTTGCTCTTTGAAAAATAACGTTTGTGTTCATTATTCCCTAATGATAACGGTCTCTTTGTACGATTGCTGTCGACACTGCCCTAAAGACCTGCACCCCCTGGTCTGGTCGGCAGAGGTGAGGGGGGTGTGGCGTCCCAGGCAGAGGAGCGTGGGGGCCGGGCTCTGACACTGAACAGTGCCCACCCCGCCCCGCGTCCCTGCAGGTGATCCGCAGGCACACGCTGGAGGAGAAGCTGCTGTGCCTGGTGCGGCACCGGGCGGGCCACCACTGCCAGAACGCGGTGATTGTCATCCTCATCCTGGCCTGGGAGGGCATCCCCCGCAGCCTCGGAGACACCCTCTACCAAGAGCTCACCGACACCCTCCGGAAGTACGGGAACCCCACCAGCCGGAGATGCGGCCTCAACGATGAGTACGTGGGGAGCGGGGGTTGGGGGGCGGGGGTGGTCCCCGCGTGCAAGGGTGGGGGCGGCTGGGCCAGGTGGCCATCGGCAGGGCCTTGGGCAGCAGATGCAGGGGACTCTGCCCGCCCTTCACTAGGGCCTGTCTGTCCTGCAGTCAGGACTGTGATGAAAGCAGCTGCCCCACAGTCCTGACCTGGGTTCTTCCGGTGCTGGCGGGAGAGGGTCTCTTGCCTTGGCTTGGCTTCGCTGTTGTTGAACCTCACATGGGCTCTGGGGCTCCAAATGGTGGAGCAACTGTGAAAAAGTATGTGGGTGTCCCGCAAGTGTAAGGTGTCAGTGGTGGTCATGAAACCTGCCCTTCTGGGGTCTCTTCCCATTTTTTAAATTAAGGTGTTTTTACTTAAAAAATAAATAAATAAAAATTCATCCTTTTAGGTATACGGTTTGAAGAGTTTGGGCTTTTTTTAAGCTTTTATTTAAATTCCAGTTAACACACAGCGTAATAGTTTCAGGTGTACAAGTGTGAAGAGGGACAAATGTTTACAGTCCTGTAGCCGCCACCACCACCAAGATACAGACCGGTTCCATCGTTGCCCCCGGTTCCCCCGCACCTCTGTAGAAGCAAGTCCTTCCTTCTGCCCTGGCAACCACCAGTCGTGCTTCATGTCCCCGTAGGTCTGCCTTTTCAGGAATGTTCTATAAATGGAACCAGACCGCGTGTAGCCTTTTGGGTCTGGCTTCCTTCCCTGAGCACAGCGTCTCTGAGCTTCACCTGGGCTTGTGGGCTAGTAGCTCATTCCTTGTTGCTGCCAAGTAGTATATGCTGCTGCTGGATGCATCACCGCTCGTTATCCATGCCCCAGTGGAGGGGCCTCTGGATTGTTTCCAGATTTTAATTAGCTGTTGAGTTACAATTACATGTCTGTGTTTATGTGTTTAAAGGCCTGAAGCACCTGGGCCTGCAGGAAGCGGGCATGTTCCAATACGTCCCTGTGTGTGTCGAATGTGTCGGAAGCTGTCATGATATTAGAGTTAAGGCAGAGGATGAACCTCACTGGGGTTTTGATTAGATTCTTCCCACTTACCTCAAACAACCCATGAGCTTCTCCCAACAACAGATTCTTAGACCTTCAGGCTCAGGGGTGGGAGCTGATTCTCCACCCCAGGACATTTGGGAAAGGAGTTGAAGGCAGGGAAGGATGTGGTCCCAGTCACTGGGAGGCCATGGATACTAGGCCTCAGCAGGACCTCCCCCTGGAGAGGGAGGAAGATTTCCGAACAAAAAAATGTGTCTGCATGCCTATCACGTGACGTGTGTTGCAGCCGGACCTGCGCTTGCCAAGGCAAAGACCCCAGCACCTGCGGTGCCTCCTTCTCCTTTGGTTGTTCCTGGAGCATGTACTTCAACGGCTGCAAATACGCTCGCAGCAAGACGCCGCGCAAGTTCCGCCTTGCAGGGGACAATCCCAAGGAGGTGAGCAGAGCTCCACAGAGCAGTGGGGCCCTCCCGCTCGTCCCCTTCCACCTAATGCCTTTCACAGTCCAGCGGGGAGGGTGGATTAGCACGCGTGAGACTCAGATGTGCGGAAAATGCAACTTGCTTTATTTATTTATTTTTTAACTGACCTCCTCTTGCTGTGGGGTGGGGTGTGGAGGGGTGTGGGGAGTGAAAAACTTAATCAGTGACAGGTACCTCAGACTCTTCTAGCTTTAAAACAGTCTCTTTATGGTAAATGTTCAAATTCCTCATCAGAATTCGACCTCCTTCATAGGTCATTTCTTCTCTTCATTCTGCCCAAGACGTCTTTCAGGGGCTGGGAGGTTTAGCAGGAAGAGGAGCCTTGAGGCCGTGGGCCATTTTCTGGGGCAAGTTCCCTCGTCTTGCCTGGCTGCCAGGTCACCTCTTCGTGAGGTTGTCCACCTGTCCAGGCCCTTGCTATCTCCTCCTGGGAGCCTGGCCTGGCTCTTAGGCACTGGCCTGCTGTCCACATAGTATGGCCTTGCGGTAGCCGCCTCGTCAGGCCAGGCTGCCTTCTGCCTTGCCCCTTCCCCTCTGTTGTCCTGCTTGTGAAGGCCATCCGGAGAGGTGGGCTCCCCTCTGAGTTCGAAATGCAGAGGAGGTACAGGCCTGTCTGGGCTCCCCATCATTTCCCCTTCAGCCTCCCCCCTCCCTCCTGCCTGAGCTCCTGTGAGGTAGGGTACTGGGTCCTCTTGTGGGGGTCTAGGCAACATCTTGATCCCTGGCTCTACCTTCCACATCTCCTTAAGCTCCTTGTCCCAAGGGTTTCCCCCTTTTCCACGGGGCATGGGGACTCCCCTTGGGCCTGTGTTTTTCTACTGTACATATAATAAACTTCTCAGAGTTCTCAGCCCTGCTTTTCAGAAGTAAAAGGAAGCATTTTCAAATGCAGAACACTTTTCCCTCAAAGCTTGGCTTTTATTTTATTTTATTTTTTTTAAAGATTTTATTATTTGTCAGAGAGAGACACAGCGAGAGATGGAACATAAGCAGGGGGAGTGGGGGAGGGAGAAGCAGGCTTCCTGCCGAGCAGGGAGCCCGATGTGGGACTCGATCCCAGGATCCTGGGATCATGACCTGAGCCGAAGGCAGACGCTTAACGACTGAGCCACCCAGGCGCCCTGGCTTTTATTTTTTTAAGATTTTATTTATTCATTTATGAATGAGAGAGAGAGAAGGTGCAGGAGTGGGAGAAAGAACGAGAGCAGAGGGAGGAGAAGCAGGCTCCCCGCTGAGTTTGGCTCAATCCCACAACCCCCAGATCACGACCCAAGCTAAAATCAAGAGTCAGACGCCCGACTGAGCCACCCAGGCACCCCCAAAGCCTGGCTTTTAGACTATTGCACAAGCTAGTCTAATAGTGTGATTTGACACTGGACTTTTATTTATGGTGGCATCTGCCCTCCCCTGGAAGCAGCGAATGCAGCTATTTCAATAAGAGAGGAGCCCCAGGACCCCAGGAAGTAAGAATTACCAGGAGTGAAAATGCACTGCTTTAGTTTCTCTCACTTACTCACCCTATTCCATGAACTTACGTAGGGCTGAGCACTCGGGCCAGCGCCTCACAGGTGTGCTTCTCAGCCAGGCTCATGATACCCCAGGCTCTGGGCATTACTGCTACTCACTTTATGGAGGAGGCAGGTGGCTTGCCCAAGGCCGTATGGCAGTAATGGTGAAGTCAGGCCTGGGTTCCCCCAGAGCTCACGAGCCTCACCCCTGTGCTGTGCTGGCCTTGGGCCCACTGTGTCGGTGGCAGCCTTTGGACTGCAGCCAGAGATTGGGGGTGGCTGCCCGACTGGACGGACAGCTGAGCCATTGGCCGCCATCTAACATTTCCACTTCTATAAGCTTGGTTCTTTTTCTCTTCCATCGTCTTCCTCTTTTTTTCTGTGTAAACTCTTCATGTCTGTGCTCAAGGCCTTCTAGGAGGCCCCCGGCCCCACCCCTGCCGGCTCTACTTGCCACCGCTGAGGGCCAGGCTGTGGCTACCTGAAACCCTGACCAAATGTCGCTGGGGTGCTGCTCTGAGTGGTGCGGCACTAGCCAGTGGGCCTTCTGTGAGCAGGCAGGTGTTCTCTGTAAAAACACAGCACAGGAGCCACACGGAACCACCAAGCATTTGAAACGTCACTAGGAAAACAGGGGGACTGAATTCATTTTAATTAAAATTCATATACATTTCAATAGCAGCACATGGCTCGTGACTACCACATACGATGGTGCGGGCCTGGGGAGTTCCCAGCACAAGACCTTCACCACCCCTCTCCTCTCCATCTTCCTCTGTAACACCGGAAGAAAAAGCCACACGTGTTGCTCCTGTTTTCACATGCCTGCCACACCACCCTTCTGCCCTAGGATGCTGAGCACTCGAAACCAACAACCTGTGGTATGGGTTGTGAGCGGCACTGAGCTAGAGCCTGGAAGAGCAGTAGCTGAGCAGTCCAGGTGGCTGGGCCTTCAGGCCGAGACTTTTCCCGAGCTTCCATGTCTCCAACTTTAAAACGCACATGGCACCATGCCCCTCCCAGAGGGAACTCTGTAAAGACACCTGATGGCACCTTACTTCCTACCTTCCCAGCAGCCCCGCAGTGGTTCTTGGATGGAGGTTGACTTCCAGCGTATAGAGTTTGCCAGGTGGGGATGCTCTGGGTACGTGTGACTGCTCTTCTCTCCGTAGGAAGAAGTGCTCCGGAAGAGTTTCCAGGACCTGGCCACCGAAGTCGCTCCCCTGTACAAGAGGCTGGCCCCCCAGGCCTATCAGAACCAGGTAAGGGGTCTTGGGCCTTTCTCTGCCCACATGTCATCCACATCTCTGCCCGTACTCCCTGAAGTCAGGAAGTGGGAGACTGAGCTCCTCCCATTGTGCTCCATATGGGAAAAGCTCAGCTAGAGAGAGAGTAATGATGTAGGTCTTGAATAAGATACTTTCTTTACACTGAGCTAACTGCTTCCCAGACTATCTGTCCTCTATCCCTTGCTTTCATGCCTCTCCCCCCTAGTAATCTCCCACCTCCTCTGGTCTGGCTTCTCCGGGGGAGGCTCGAGTTTCTCTGTCCTGTCACCCCTGCATCTTCCAGATGAGGTGAGAGGGACTTGAGATAACCCAGAAGGAAGTCATTCCTGCAGAGGCTTCAGCCAGAAAGCCTACCTTCTGCAGCCCATGCACAAGGCAGCCGTGGTCCTTAACCTCCCCAGTGCAGAATCCAGGCCACTGACCTCAGGTCACACAAGCAGTTGTCCTTGGCCGTCCACACAGGTGACCAATGAGGAAATAGCGATTGACTGCCGCCTGGGGCTGAAGGAAGGGCGGCCCTTCTCGGGGGTCACGGCCTGCATGGACTTCTGTGCCCACGCCCACAAGGACCAGCATAACCTCTACAACGGGTGCACCGTGGTAAGGAACCCTGGGCCTGTCACAGTGCTCCCTGTGGGATGATCCTGGGAGGGGGACTGGTTTGTGCAGACAGGTGGGCTCAGAGTAGGGAGGGACCTGGAGACAAGAGTCTCAGATCTCTGGGAAGCGCTCTGCCAGACTGCTCCTGCTCACTTCTCTGAGAAATGCGTGGACCAGAATGCTTGGGCCAGGTCGACCTTGTCTCTGTGTCTCAGGTGGATGCTGCAGAGTGCAGTCTTTTGGACACCTGGAGGCCCTCAGTTACCTAAAGACGGTTCCAGGTCTCCGTGAACACTTGGATTTAAATCCAAACAATCTCTTGATTCACCCATTGAGCAAATGTTTATTTTGCCCCAGGTGCTGGTCTAGATCTGGGGGAATAAAATGGACCAAGTCCTGTCCAAGTATGTGATACAATTCATATCTGGTAGCAATGGAAATGGAGTCACAATTCATATCTGCTAGCGATGGAAATGGAGTCGGGGAAGGGGGAAAGTGAGAGCAGATGCTCTTTGACACGCCGCAGGCAGAGAGGCCTTTCTGAGAAGGGGCAGCTGAGCTGAGACATGAATGAAGCGAGAGAGTAAAGGATTGAATGTCTGGGGGTGGAGCGCTCCAGGCAGAAGGACCAGCACAGGCAAAGGCTCGGAGGCAGGCAGGGATCAGGTCACAGGGAGCCTAGAAGGCAGGCGAGGCTGTGGGCTGTGCTCCAAGTGTGATGGGAAGCCCTGGAGGGCTCTTCAGCCGAGAGTAGTAGGATCTCATTTATGAAGTCAGAAGCACGCTCTTGCTCTCCTGCAGATGGAGAATAAGTATGTGGAGGTGGGGGGAGGGGGTGGATGGGAGAGAACTGGAGGAGGAGGCCAGTTGAAAGGCTGGGACAGTGTCCAGGCTAGAGATGATGGGGCTGGGGCAGGAGGGAGGGTGGGGAGGGAGGTAATTGGATGACTTGGGGTGATTTTGAAGGTATAGCCAAGGGGGGTTGCTGATGGACAGATACAGGATAGGAGAGGGAAGGACAAGAGAACCACCCAAGTTGTTTTGCTTGAGCACCAGGGCAAGTGTTGGGGTGATGTGCTGAGCTGTAGACTAGCAGAGAAGGCCAGTTTGGGGGGGAAACTGTTTGAGAGGCCTGCTAGATGTCCAGGCGGACACGCAGAGCAGGCAGGGGAGGGGGGTATCTGGAGAGCCTTTGGCTCCCAGTTACAGCCACAAGGCCGGATGCAGTCACCGGAGGAATGAGTACAGTTGGAGAAGAGGGATGGTTTGGCCTTGAGTGGGGAACCCCCTCGAAGGGATGATGCCAGCTCTCTTCTTTGCTTTTTAACTGGGTCCTGGGCAGGCAGGGCTCCCCGAGGAACTATGGAAGAGGCAGAGGCCCTGGCGATTCATTTGAAAGGGGGCTCCCAGAGTCTGGGTGTAGCTTGGGTCTGACACAGGGATTGATGGCCCAGCTCTGAGATTTTATTTCTCTGCCTTGTCCTCCTTCCTTATGTCCAAGGCTCGAAGCAAGATGGGGCAGGCGCCTGTCCACACTGTGAGGGTTTCTAGCTGAAACAGAAATGGAGGGAACTCCAGGATGTAGGAGAGGGTCAGGGAAGGAGGAGGAGACAGCAGGAGGTAGGAGCACAGTGAGGTTATTCCAGTTGCAGAGCTTGTAGAGTTTGGAGTGAAAAAAAGCAAACTTTTTTCAAAATGAACAGTATTTTTTCTAATTAAAAAGCTGTTTAAAAAAGTAAAGAATATAAGAAAGTATAAAGTAAAAATTGCGTGAAATCTCATAGACATAACCAGTGTTAGCATTGGGATGACTATCCTTTCAGGCACCTGATTGTATGTGTGTGTGCGTACAGCTATATATGTTTTACACAAACGTGATCACATTATGTGTATGTGCTGCTCCATGCCCTGCCTTTCTCAAGACTACATGATGGACAGCTTCTGTGTCCCCGGATGTAGGCTTACTTGAGCATGTGGTCAGGCTGCATGGATGCCTCTGCCGTCGTTTGACTGTCCCCCTCTGTATGGACAGTGAGTGTGTCCAGCCTCCCCCTCCAGAAACCAGAGGGAGGGTCCAGCCTTATCACATCTCGGTGCAGTGGTGGAATAATCTCCTTGAGATCCCAGGGTAAGGACATTTAGAGGCTTAGAGTGCTGCTTACTTGCAACATAGGGCGTTCTCAATTTCTTGAGTCTTCTCCTGCCTGAGTGGCAAACATAATGATCTCATTGCAATTTGTGTTTCTTTTATTATGAGAGAGGTTGAACATCTTTTTCTATATTTCTTACCCATTTAAATTTTATCTTTGTGACTGTCCTTTATGTCCTAAAAAAAAAAAAAGGATAACCACATCTGTTGACGTTGGTAAGTTATCTGTGTTAGGGAGAGAAACACCACTTCTGTCATCTCTCATTCTTTGCTGTTTTATCACATTGGGTTTTAGGGAATGATTGGAAGCAGGGCTGTGGTCAGTCCAACCCAGAAGGTATGTGGGGGTCTGGTCAGAGCAGATTAAGTCTGAAGAGCCACACATACTCTGGGAAGAAACATACTTGGTAGAGCATGACACCAAAGGAGAAGCTATAGAGGGGAAGACGAATACAGCTGACTTCATAAAAATGAGCCATTTCTGTTCAATAATAAAATGCTACGATCAAAACAAAGTCCAGTCCAAACTGGAAAACAGTATTTATAACAAGTGACAAAGGGAATAATCTTCACAAAGATTATTTTATATGAATGATTAAAATGGATAATCCAATATAAAAATGGGCAAAAGGCATAAAAGTCACAAAAAAAGGAAGACAGAGAGTGGTATTAAAATATACCCAGGCTTTGTTTTACTCAAGTCTGATAAGCCAGACACAGACATGAGTGTCAAGAGGACAGAAGTTTGTCCTCAGCCTTCAGGAGCACATGCTGGGCCACGCGGAAGCACCGGGATTGGTCAGGAGGCAGTGGGGAGAGGGGAGAGTGTGGCCCAGAGCCTTTATTGGAGATTCTGTGGAAAGGAGTGGGCAAGGCAAAGTAGAAAGCGGAGTAAGCTGAGGATTGGAGAGTTTGGATAGTTTCTGGGGGCTCTGGGCCATAGGGGTGGTCCGCAGTTGTCTTCCCTGGCCCTGGGTGATATAGGGCAGTGGGAATATTGGCTCAGTATGCAGGAGTTTGGTAAAAGAGAGAGTTGGCTGTGTGGGCTCTTGATTGGTTGGTTTGTATATCAGAGTGCACCCAAAGGAGGTCATTTGCTATCTCTAGGCATTAGCTAGTCTTTGGGGAAGGACAGCCCCTCCAGGGTCAAGGTCCCAAATGCCAAAACATCAAGAACACAGAAAATAAAATATAGTCAACACAAGAGTAAAGAGTAAACTTGAGAGGGGAAAAAAAAAAAAAATCAAACCTCATTAGTAATCAGAGAATTGCAGACCAACAGTGGATACATTTCGATAATGAGCAAAATGTTTTTCAGAAGTGAATGGCAAAATTACAAGCAAAAGTGTAGGAAAATGGAAACTCCCCTTCTGTCAGTATGAGTGAAACACTGAGGAGAATCATTTTGGAGGGCAGTTTGGCAACATGTAGCCCTTTACTTCCCAGAGTTTCTTCCAAGGAATTATGTGTCTTAGAAAATCTAGCTGAAAGTATAAAAGTATTGTTTATGATAGGAAAAAATTGGAAACAAGTTTTAATGGTGATGACGGTTTAAAAGAATACATTGATACAGTAGAATAATATGATGCAAGTTTTTAAATCACATTGGGGGAGAATAATGCATAAGAAAATACTCATACTGTTTAAAAAGAAGTTATTATAAAGTTACATGCATAATGCGATCCTATTTCATTATCAAAAAGCGAGTTTGGGTATGTGTGTATGCAAATACGATCAACATGTTTATAGTGATTATTTCTAGATGGTGGGATTATGGAGATAATTATTATTTCCTTTGTGCTGGCCTAAATTTTCTATAAGCAGCACATGTAGTTTTTAATACAAGGTATTTTAAGAGCACAAGGAGGCTGCGTGTTCAGGGCGCGGAGGATAAGGGTGTGGGGTCTGAGGCTCGGTGAGGTGATGAGGCGTAATGACAAGAATGCCCCGCTGGAGGGCAGAGCATGGCTGCCTGTCCCGACCAGGCCCCCTCCCAGCCCCCTGAGGGTCGCACGGGACAAAGTGAATGGATGTCCTTTGAAAGCTATAGAGCAGATTCTAAATGCTGATGATACTGTTACTCTGTGAACCAGGGGGAACGTGCTTTTAGACACTCTAGAAAGAGTGGCTGGCTGGTGTTGGGACTGTGTGCGGAAGGGGGGGGGGAGGTCTTGTCTGCGGATGTTCAGCCCCTTGCCCCCAGCGCTCGGCGCCCCCAACCCCATGCACCCTCCCTCTGTCTGCTTGGGGCAGGTCTGCACCCTGACCAAGGAAGACAATCGCTGCGTGGGCAAGATTCCCGAGGACGAGCAGCTGCACGTGCTCCCCCTGTACAAGATGGCCAACACGGACGAGTTTGGCAGTGAGGAGAACCAGAACGCCAAGGTGGGCAGCGGGGCCATCCAGGTGCTCACCGCCTTCCCCCGCGAGGTCCGGCGCCTGCCTGAGCCTGCCAAGTCGTGCCGTCAGCGGCAGCTGGAAGCCAGAAAGGCGGCGGCGGAGAAGAAGAAGATTCAGAAGGAGAAGCTGAGCACTCCCGAGAAGATCAAACAGGAAGCTCTCGAGCTGGCCGGTGTCACCACCGACCCAGGTGTGTGGGGAGAGGGTGCCCGCCAGAGGTGGCACCGTCGGGGTGGGGGTGTGGCCCCGGACAGCTCCCTCCCTGCCCCTCTTCCTGCCTCGAGATGGAACTCCAGACCAGAGTCCTGGGGCCTCTCTCAGCCCTCTGAACCCCACATTATCTTAGCTTTCAGTCAGCACAGTATCCGCGGCAGCCCTAGGACACCAGAGCTGGGGGGTCCCCTCTTCCCACAGAGGAGCTGGGCTCCTCCTCCAGCTTGCCTGAGCATCCGCACAGTGTGCCAGGGCCTCAGGCGCGTGGTGTGCAGGGGCGCGTGGGCCGCTCTCACGTCGCCTGAGCCAGTGAGGACCCGTGGGGTTCGCCAGGGAAGGGAGGAGGAGGAGGAGTGCTGCAGGGGGCTCCTCCCGGGGCTTCCGTGGGGCTGAGAACCCCTTAGGGGAAGAGGGAGGTTCCAGGCCCAGTCCTCTTGCTCCGGGCCCCTGTGGTCTGTGGTTCTCTCTGCTCCTTCTCGGTCTTGCCTCCTGTCTTCCCCAGGCCTGGCTCTGAAGGGTGGATTGCCCCAGCAAGGCCTGAAGCCCTCCCTCAAAGTGGAGCCACAGAACCACTTCAGTTCCTTCAAGTACAGCAGCAATGCGGTGGTGGAGAGCTACTCGGTGCTGGGCAACTGCCGGCCGTCCGACCCCTACAGCATGAATAGCGTGTACTCCTACCACTCCTACTATGCACAGCCCGGCCTGACCTCCGTCAACGGCTTCCACTCCAAGTATGCTCTTCCGTCGTTCAGCTACTATGGCTTTCCATCCAGCAACCCCGTCTTCCCCTCACAGTTCCTGGGGCCTGGCACCTGGGGACACGGTGGCGGCAGCAGCAGTTTTGAGAAGAAGCCAGACCTCCACGCTCTGCACAACAGCCTGAGCCCGGCCTACGGTGGTGCTGAGTTTGCCGAGCTGCCTGGCCAGGCTGTTCCCACGGACACCCACCACCCCACTCCTCACCACCAGCAGCCTGCTTATCCAGGCCCCAAGGAGTATCTGCTTCCCAAGGCTCCCCAGATCCACCCAGCATCCAGGGACCCCTCTCCCTTTGCACCGAGCTCCAACTGCTTCAACAGATCCATCAAGCAAGAGCCACTAGACCCACTGGTCCAGGCTGAGTCTATACCCAGAGACCCTGGTAAGATGGGCAAAACACCTTTGCCCGAGGCTTCTCAGAATGGGGGACCCAATCACCTATGGGGGCAGTACTCAGGAGGCCCAAGCATGTCCCCCAAGAGGACTAACAGTGTGGGTGGCAGCTGGGGTGTGTTCCATCCTGGGGAGAGCCCTGCCATCATCCCCGACAAGCTCAGTTCTTATGGGGCCAGCTGCCTGACCCCTTCCCACTTCCCGGATGGCCAGTGGGGGCTGTTCCCTGGCGAGGGGCAGCAGCCAGCCCCCCAGCCTGGAGGGCGGCTTCGAGGCAAACCGTGGAGCCCCTGCAAGTTTGGGAACAACACCTCGGCCTTGGCTGGGCCCAGCCTGACGGAGAAGCCGTGGGGGATTGGGGCCGGGGATTTCAACTCTGCCCTGAAAAGCGGTCCTGGGTTCCAAGACAAGTTGTGGAGCCCCCTGAAAGGAGAGGAGGGACGGCTTCCAACCCCGGGGGCAAGCCAGCTGGACAAAGCCTGGCAGTCCTTCAGCATGCCCCTGGGCTCCAGCGAGAAGCTCTTCGGGGCCCTGAAGTCAGAGGAAAAGCTGTGGGATCCCTTCAGCCTGGAGGAGGGGACTGCCGAGGACACCCCCGACAAGGGGGCGGTGAAGGAGGAGAAGAGTGGCGGGGCGGAGGAGGAGGAGGAGCTCTGGTCTGACAGTGAACACAACTTCCTGGACGAGAACATCGGCGGCGTGGCCGTGGCCCCCGCTCACGGCTCAATCCTCATCGAGTGCGCCCGGCGGGAGCTGCATGCCACCACACCCCTCAAGAAACCCAACCGCTGCCACCCCACCCGCATCTCGCTGGTCTTCTACCAGCACAAGAACCTCAACCAGCCCAATCACGGGCTGGCCCTCTGGGAGGCCAAGATGAAGCAACTGGCGGAGAGGGCCCGGGCGCGACAGGAAGAGGCCGCCCGGCTGGGCCTGGGCCAGCAGGAGGCCAAGCTCTATGGGAAGAAGCGCAAATGGGGGGGTGCCATGGTGGCCGAGCCCCAGCATAAGGAGAAGAAGGGGCTCGTCCCCACTCGGCAGGCGCTGGCCGTACCCACAGACTCAGCAGTCACCGTGTCCTCCTACGCCTACACGAAGGTCACCGGCCCCTACAGCCGCTGGATCTAGGTGCCAGGGAGCCAGCGTACCTCAGCGTCGGGCCCGGCCCGAGCTGCTTCTGTGGTGCTTTTGCCCTCACGCCTGGGGGCGGGTTGGGGGTGCAGAAGTCTTTTTATCTATATATACATATATAGATGTGCATATATATGTATTTATGGTCCAAACCTCAGAACTGACCCGCCCCGCCCCTCCCCCCCACTTCCCCAGCACTTTGAAGAAGAAACTACGGCTGTCGGGTGATTTTTTTCGTGATCTTAATATTTATATCTCCACGTTGGTTTTTTTCTCCCCCCCCCCTTGTCTGGGGGGCTTTTATTTCCTCTTGTTTTTAAAACTCTATCCTTGTATATCACAATAATGGAAAGAAAGTTTATAGTGTCCTTTCACAAAGGAGTAGTTTTAAATTCCATTTAAAAATGTGTATTTATTGGATTTTTTAAAAAGCGACGATAGTAATGGTAAAGGAGCGGCAGGAAGGGCCAAAAGCGCTCATTCCTGCCCAGTCTTGCTGGGCCCAGCGAGCCTGGCCGTCTTGGGAGCTGGCAAGGTTCTCTCAGCCATCTGCCCCTCATGAGCCAAGTGCAGACTGTAGCCACCCTGGTCCATCCCTTCTGACAGATATGCCTTCCCTTCAGGGGAGGGAGCCCTCAGGACAGCTTCTGTCCCCTCCAGTAGGATGGGAGAATCTGTAGAAAAACATCTGGGGTCCCTTTTCCAGTCACCGGCTTGGAGTCGGGGACCGGGGAGGCAGGTGCACCCCCAGGCCAGGCAACAGAGATGCTGGCGTAGATTTCCCCCAGAAACCAGGTTGGAAGTAGACAGCTTCAAGCTTGCTAGTCTCCACACTGAATCCTCTCTGTCCGTTATCGATCAAGTCACATGATGTCACGGTTCCCTAGGCAGCACCTCCTTGATGGAGCTGGAGTTGAGAGGCTCTTAGGAGCCATTTCCACCGGGTTGACAAACCAATGAATACTGGGCTGAAGGAATTTGTCTTAGTGGCAGTTTATTTTTTAAAAAATGCCCCAAAGCTTATGCTGATATCGAAAAAGGGCTACTGTATCTCTAAAAACAAGAAGTTGAACCCAAGCTGTGAAAAGCCAGTGTTGCCCCGTCGCTCGGCGCTGTGCAGAGCCTGGTGCTGTAGTATCGTGCTGGGACTTCCTCGACCCTGGGGCGGGTCGCGTCCTGTGGGAGCTCAGCACACCAGTGTAACAGCAGTTAACGCATCTCTCTTCCTGGATTTCCACATTGGACAATGGTGCAGGCCTCACCACCCAAGCCCACCCCCTCCACGCTATCCCGGGGCGGGGCGGGCTCGCACTCAGCAATCTTAAAATGCAGGAGTCCAACGTTTTCAGCAGGTAGCTATGATTTCCCTCCCTAATTGGTGCCATTTCTCTAGTTGATCATCTTCTCCTTTCCCCTTCCCCCCACTTTAACTTGCCCATTCTAAAAATCTGGTGCATTCGTTCAGTTCTTCGAAATGAGAATGTGGTGCTTCATTGTTGCAACATTGTGGAGAGCAGTTGGGCCTGACTGGTAGAAGCAACAGTCGTGGACAGCAAGTCAGACTTCCTGGCGTGTTTGTTTTTCCTGTGGTGTGAGTGACATTTCCATCAGGTTGCCCGTGTGGATGTGTGTGGTGAGTGGGAGGCTTCAGCAGGGCACATAGAGGGGAATATGGCCACACAGTGAATGACAACCAAGCCCTGAGATACATGTCAGATATTTATTGAGCAGTTTTATTCAGATGTGGGTCTTCGTAAAACGAGTTTAACAATCAGATGACGATGCTAAAGGCAAGTTCCTGAGCTTCCAGGTGCCTTGTGTAAGAGCTGAGAACCGACCCGCCGGGTGCCTGCCGTAACCGGTCAGGAGCACTGGTGGAGAGTCGCTGTAAGATGTCCTGAGCATTTATGTGGTCTGGTTTTAACTGTACATAGTGAAAGATTTTTTTAAGCACTTTTGCCTAGATTTAAACAGCAACTTGAAAAAAAAAAAAGTATGTTTTAACATGTAATTGTGGGAGAAATTGTAAATAGTAGCTCAATATTTAACGTGCTTTGTCTATCCTTCACTTTTACCATATTCTGTAAAGTTGCATTTATTTTACAGGACAAAAATGAAATATTATTGCTTTTGAAATAAATACCCAAGAGCTTATCAGGATTTAGAATTATTCAGAACTCAGATTTATAGGAAAACCTCTGACCTTCAGTTTGACAAGCTAAAGGAAGCAGAGTCTTTAATAAGCATGCTAATTTTCTAGTTTTGAGGAAAAGTTGGGTCCTTTAAATGCTATTTTGCTTATCGCATCAGTACTTTTATGCAGGTCTCATTTGACTCCGTGCTTAGGTAGATGCGGGGGTGCCTTGAAAACTTCATTTTAAATGATCTTAAGCAAGAAATACAATATTTTACGAAACATTTGGAGAATGTGACCGTCTGTGTGACCCGGGAAAACCCCAGGTTGGCTGTTGGTTTGGAAGGTCCCGAGTGTAACCCAGGTGATTCGGATACTTGGCATGTGTGAATCTTCCTGATGTCTGTTAAATATACTCTTCCCCTCGTCACCCTTTGGTAGCAAAAGCCATTAGATGAAAGGAGAAACCGATAACAAGCTCAAAGCATGTGATGTTTGTCCCGGCAGCCCCAACAGCCTTTGGTCTGTAACTTTCTCGACTCGTATATAGGCTGCTGAGAGGTGAGTCAAGAGGCAGTCTCCATTGGATGCTCCCATTCCCCTCAGAATGGTGTTTCAGAAATTAGGTGGTGCTGTTGCCATGCTCGAGTCCATGCCGATTTTTACACACTACACGTATAACCTACCTCAAATCTCAGTCATTAAAATTAGCATGCTTTAGACGTAGATTTAAAAAGTAACTATGCACAGCTCCTTATTGCCCCCCCCTTGCTGCTGAAGGTTTCTTAAAGAGAAAAATCAAATTTTTATTTTTTACTGGTACTATCATTTTTTAAGTCCTAAAGATGATTAACAGACATTTTTATCATGAGAAGAAAAATAAAGCCATTGCAACGAAAGACCCTAACAGCATGACCAAGTTTTAGAGTAATATTATAGCAAGGAGAAACGGTGGAGTCCTGGAGCCCTCTCCCCAGCGTGCCCTGTCCACAGACGCCATCCACATGCAGTGCGAATGTCTGGTTCTCCCTTTGTTTGGTTTCCCCTGCCTTTTGCATGCAAGGGAAGTGCTTGCAAAGTTCTGTGCTAAGAGATTTTTTAAAATAATCGCTTTGTGGCAGGTTCTCACAAAATAACTGGTGCTAGCTCAAGAACCCATCATCAGAAAGCTTGACTAAAGTTGTTTCATGGATTTTGAGGTTTTGTTGTTTCTGTTGTCGTTCGGGTTTTGTTTTGGGTTTTTTTTTTTTTTTTGCCAGGGCCTACGTTTCCCACACACCGGCTTCGTGGTTACTGCTGGCCCGCTTGCCGGGGTGGCCGTGGTGCGCGTGGAAAGAGATCATACCCTGCCCCGTCTTGGTCCTTCCGCCAGCCTCTTTTGGAAACGGTAGTTTACAGAGCAAGGGGTTTTTAAAGTGCTAAAGCCAGGAAAGGAGCAGAGCTCAAGTGCTTTGTACCAAACAGCGCTAGATGTGTGAGGATGCTTGAGGAGGAGGAGATGGTAACCTGATTTCACGGAGAGAAATCCAGCCAGACTTTGTGACGTGGAACCACCGCCAGATCTCAAAACCAAGGGGATGCTGGTGGAAAATTTAAGTGATATCCCTGACGTGCCTCAACCAATCTCTTTCCTTTTGTTACTGAAGTGTGTTTTATGGACTAGGAAGCATTTTTATGAATTGAAATAGTCTAAATAAAATGGTGCTATGGTGTTTCAATGTGACTGTCCCTGATCCTGTCCTGCTGAGGTGCTATCAAGGTTCTGAAACCACAACCAACCAAAAACAAGGTGGGCTCCAGTCTCTCTTGGCTTCCCCCCATCCCCCGTTTGGTGCTGTCTCCTTAGACCTCTGTTTACCGTGCTAAAACCTGCTCTGAGCAGTTTTTCTGTTTCGTTTTATTCTTCTTCCCTTGGTGGCCGAACACAGAAAGGCAAGTTCTGAAGGCAGCTAGCTCCCTAACCATGACGGGAGTGGGCCGGCCTGGCTTGGCAGGTGCTCTGGTGACTCATCTGTCCTCTCGGGCCTGATGAGAAAGGAAGGGGAGTCTGGTACTCCTGCCCCTTCCAACATGGCAGGCATTCTTGTAGCCAAGGACTCACGTTTTCCTCCTGCAGCCCAGGGTGCCAAGTAGGCACCTCTGAGGGTCTCAAAGGCATTCCTCTTGGACCTCGGTCCTCCCCTGGCACTGGCCAGGGCCGTGGCGGGCAGCAGGCTCGTTCCTTTGCTCCTCACAGCCCTTGCCCCAGCGTTGCTCCTGCCGGTCCCTCCTCATGTTCCAACTGAAGGAAGGAGCTTGCTTTGCTCGCTTGATGCCACTGAGGCTGCTTTTTAGTTGGTGCTACTCTACATTTCCTCTTGGGTCCACAAAAGTTAATGTTTGAGAAACGTAACAGGAAGCTCCATTTTGTGTCATCCACTGTCACAATAATTTTTTTTAAATACCTCAAAAACAGGACATTGTGACAACTTCAGTAAAGTAGATTCCGTGAGGGTCTGATACCTGCAGGTTGTCCATCTGATGACTGACTTGACCTTGAAGATTCTGGGGTCATTTTATTTTTCACTCTTCAGCAGTTAATCATGGCAGAACATCTAAAGGAAGGAGTGTGGTTGACTTTATTTTCTTTGTGAGTTTTGCTTTCGGATAAAATGTGAATCTCCTATGCCCATCTCATTGAGCTTTTTCAGGCATTGTTGCTGTCATTTGAAATGACTTCCTCAAAACCTACTTTATTAGCCAGAGGCATCTGCTGTAGCACACGGCCAACTTCGACATACCCTGGACCAAAATGTTTGGAGGTGCGTATCCCAGCGTAGGTTATCCAGCCCCACACCCACGCGTGCATAGAGTGTTTCCACTTGAGACCCTGTCTTGGCGCTCCCGGCCCTTCCCACAGAGCCAAGCAATAGGCTTCTCCCCTGAGCAGAGACTGCAGCACAGAAATGCGAGGTCTGAAGTTGCTTTCTGCCTAAGGATCAGTGAGTGATTTGGCCTACTTCCTCATTCGCTTCTATTCTGATATCAGGGATGCTTTTTGTAGTGGTATCATTTGCGCTCTTCTCATTTTGACTACCCGTCGTCATTCAGGGAAAACTCATCACTATTCACATGGGAATTAAAAAAAAATACCATTGGGCTCATTTGAACATCCAAATTTTCTTGATTCCAGTACCTTTTTTTTTTCTTTCTTTCGAGGGGAAAAAGGAGGAGAAAAACAGGAGTGATGTCATTTCTTTTTCGCATATTCTAATTATA